AGCATGATCAGTAGTTAGAAGCCCCTGGGTGCCCCTGCGCACAGCAGCCCTCTCCTCCAGAATCATTATCCTGTATTTTCTGTTCATTGATTCCTTACTTTTTAAAGGAATCCTCATATAGGTATATATGTCTAAACAATATGTTGTTTTAGCCTTTCCTCATAGAAATGGAATCATGCCAGGCATCTGGCTCCTAGTTGTCAGTAGGGGTCACTAGGAAGTCATCAGGATGTCTTAGGCCGCCTGAAATCGAATTCCAACCTCCTTTTTGTTTTTGTTTTTGTTTTGACTGTGCATCGGTTGTGAGATATGTCCACCATCCACATTTCCACATTGAAGTGCGTGGCTGTAATTCATTTACAAAAGTCAATTGCTGCATATTATTTTATTTTCTGAGTACATTGCTAGTATATGAGTATATCATGGTTTTATAAATGCATTCTCAATAAGCCCGTAGACATCTGGGTTGTTTCCAGGCTTTTGTCCTCCCCTTCTCCACTTTTGTGCTGTTTCAAACAGTGTACCACCCCAGGAGTGGGTCACAGGATTTGTGCGTCTTTTTAGACATTGCCAAATTGTTTTTTCAAAGTTATTCTGGCAATTGAATTCCCACCAGCAGTGTATGAGAGTTTCCATTTTTTCCACAGCCATGCCAACATTGGACATTATTAGTTTGATTTTTGGCAATCTTTTGGACGCACTGTGCATAGTAGCTCATTGGCATTTTAATTTGCATTTTCCTGATTACTAATGAGGTGCCCTATGACTCATATATTTAGTAACTGTTTGAGTTTACTTTTTTGTGAAATATTTGATCATCAGTTTTCCCTAGGTTTAGTTTGTTTGCCTCTTTGCTTTTTAGGCATTATTTGTGTATCTGATGCCAATCCTTTATTTTATTTGTGTTGCAGGCATCTTCTCCCATTCACTCTATTTGTGGTGTCTTGGGATAACAGGAAATCCTTAATTTGAATGGAGTCAAACGTATTCATCTTTTCCTTTCCATTGCTCCCGCATTAGGATCATTTGTTGTCCCTGCATGAGTCTTTGAAGGAGTTGATCCTGTCTGCTCTGAGTGTCCCTCCCATTGTGTAGCAAGTGTCAAGATCTGTTCAATCTTATCACTTCCTTCTGCTCTATTGAATCTGCTATATAACTGGCCTATTTTAAATTTTTTTTAGCATTTCATTTTCAAGTAATCTCTACAGCCAACGTGGGGGGCTCAAACTTACAACCCCGAGATCAAGAGTCCCACGCTCTTCTGACTGAGCCAGCCAGGCGTCCCTTGCCTGTTTAATTTTTAATTTCATTTAAAACATATTTCTAGGGGCGCCTGGATACCTCAGTCAGAAGAGCTTGCGACTCTTGATCTCGGGGTTGTAAGTTCGAGCCCCCCACGTTGGCTGTAGAGATTACCTAAATAAAAACAAAAACAAAGAACAAAACATATTTCTAGATGTTCGATGTGTTTCTTTTTCAACTCTTCATGGTCATTTTTATGGTCTTTTGTTCCTTACTCGCACTTTTGATACCTTTTTAAAATTTCTTTAAACTTTTTGAAATTGTTTTAAAACTGTCCAAATTGAAAATTAGTCATTGGGTAATTTATTCTAAAGAAAGACGTACACACAAGCCAAATAATATATGAACAAGGTTATTTATCCCAACATGATAAGAACAGCAAAAGATTGGGGGCACCTGGCTGGCCTAGTGGGTGAAGCTTGAGGCTTTTGATGGGGCTGAGTTCAAGCCCCACTTTGGGTGTAAAGATTACTTAAAAAATAAAATATTAAAAAAAAAGAATAGCAAAAGATTGGAAACACCCTAAATGTCCATCAATTGAAGACTAGTTAAATAAAGTATGTACATCCACAGGAAAACAATTCAATGCAGAGGAAAGAAAAGGAGAGGGAGAGGGAGAGAGGAGGGGGAGAAGGAGAGAGGGAGATGGAGGAAGAGAGAGAGGAAGGGGAGGAAGAGAAGAGAGAGAGAGAGAGGGAGGGAGTGAGGAGAAAGAAAAGGGATAGGGAAAAGATGAACTTAAAGGTACTGATCTAGATATAGATTCCAAAGTTCAAGGTGCAGAGCAGTCTGCTATCTCTTGGGTAACACAAGTGAACAATAAATAGGAACCCATAAAATGCAGATATGGTTCTTATAGTCCATAACATCAATATAGAAAAATCTATGGCTGTCATGTCTGCCATCACCACTCCTGTTAAAAAAAAGAAAAAGAAAAAGAAAAACTGTTCTTCAGCAGCCCTGGGGTAAATTGAATCACTAGGAAACCATTGCGGGGTTGAGGATCTATAGGAGGCTTTAGTTGTCTTAAGTGTGTCTGGAGATATTTGGGGGTCTCCAGTGGCCTTAGGGGTGTCTGGGTATATTTGCGGGGCCACAGTGCCTTTGGTGGCATCTGGGGATTTTCAGGTGTAAGAATCCCGGTGGTCCCTGGCCTGACGGACGCTGACATCTCTTCCCCCACCTCCTCGTCCTCGTCTTCTGGCAGGAACTCCGCGGCCTGGGCGCAGCCTCCTCGCCCATGGCGGAGGCTGGAGCTCCCCGCCGCTTCCGGCGAGCAGTGCCCCGCGGCGAAGGGGCGGGGGCTATGCAGGAGCTGGCGCGGGCGCTGGCGCACCTGCTAGAGGCCGAAAGGCAGGAGCGAGCGCGGGCAGAGGCGCAGGAGGCCGAGGATCAGCAGGCGCGCGTCCTGGCACAGCTGCTGCGCGCCTGGAGCGCACCCCGCACTAACGACCCCGCGCTGGGCCTGGAGGACGACCCCGACGCGCCCGCCGCGCAGCTAGCCCGCGCCCTGCTCCGCGCCCGTCTGGACCCTGCAGCCCTCGCTGCCCAGCTTGTCCCTGCCCCTGCCGCTGCTCTCAGACCCCGGCCCCCAGTCTACGACGACGGCCCCACGGGCCCGGATGCAGAGGACACCGGCGAGGAGACGCCAGATGTGGACCCGGAGCTGCTGAGGTAGCCCAGCAAGGGGCGGGCAGGGGGCGGTGCCTGCATCCTGCGGGGGGAAGGAAGGCGAGGGGGGACGGCTGGGGCCTGCCTCACAGCGTGGTGCCAACACCTAGGCCCTGGGACCCTAGGAGGGAGTGAGGAGCTGGACCCAGGGTGTAGGGTCAGAGATGTCTGGCTGGGGAGAAAGTGGGGGGAACGGGACTCTCGGTCCCGGGAAGGGGGCTCCAATGTCTGCTTCCTGGGGGGAGTAGTGGGGGGCAGGGAAACTATAGTTTCTGGGATGGGAGGCAGGGACAGCTGGAAAGCAGTGGGCTGGGGACGACTGGGTGGGGAGGAGGCTGGTGACTGCCGGGTCCCCAGGCAGTATGGGGTTGCAGGGTCATCTGGGACCTAGGCCCGCGATGTTGATGAGCGGGCATATTCTCCGTGCCTTCCACTCGGCTCTCCTGCAGGTACTTGCTGGGGCGGATCCTGGCGGGGAGCGCGGACCCCGAGGCTGTGGCTGCCCCGCGCCGCCTCCGCCGCGCCGCGGACCAGGATCTGAGCCCGGAGGTGCCCCCTGAGGGTGTGCTGGGGGCCCTGCTGCGGGTGAAGCGCCTGGAGAACCCTTCGCCCCAGGCGCCGGTGCGCCGCCTCCTGCCCCCCTGAGCACCGCCTGAATCCTGCGCGCCCTCCGGCCCAGGACCACCCACCCCAACACCCCACCTGCTCCCCGTCGGCACACTGAGAGCGGCTTACCCCGTCAGCTGCAGTTGCTGCCCTTGGACTCCCAAGATCGCCGCCCTTGCCCCCACAATAAATGCGATCTAAAGCAGCTATTTGCTTGTCTGAGTGGCAGTTTCTAGGGGGCTGGTGGGCTGTATGGTGATGGCTGCCCTTAGACAAAGGCAGAGGGACCCCTGCCCTGGGGCGGTAGAAACACCCTCCCCCACTCTAAAGCCTCTTCTCGCAGGAGGAGGCATCCATAAAGGCAATGGTAGTAACCACCCAGATCCCATGCCCCACTCCGGAAGGCTTGGAGGACTCTTTCAGGGGCCCGCAGTAGCATCTTTCTAGGGTCCATCCTTCTGAGGACCAAGGGGTGGCTGTGAGGTGGGAGCAGAGTTTGGGCTGTACGGGGGGGGGGGGGGGGGGGGGGGGGGGGGGGGGGGGGGGGGGGGGGGGGGGGGGGGGGGGGGGGGGGGGGGGGGGGGGGGGGGGGCGGTGTCCAAAAGCACACGTGAGCGCTTCCAGATGCAGGGAGGGGCTCCCAGTGGGAAGAGAGGGAGCAAGCTGCAGGCCTTATCCTGGCTTGGAACTCCAAGTCTGAGAAATTAGAACCTGGGGCTCCAGGTCATTAACAAAGTGTCTTTGTCAGGGCAGAAAGCTAGGGTGCATTTTGAGTTAGCTTGATTTCTAATGTTGACATACTGAGTTCCACAGTATAGAGGCTCGCTCTACCTGTACTCTCACCCAGCCCTGCACTATTGGGAGTTGGTGTGGTGGTAGCTGGTTTATGCTCCTGCCCTTTGCACTGGCTATTCCCTCTGCCCCAGGTTACCTGCAAATTTTTGCTCAAATGTCACCTACTCGATAAGGCTTTCCTCGACCTCCCCCACTTTTTATTCCTACACCTGCCTTATGTTAGATCTAGGAGGGCAGGGATTTTTAAGTGTCTGTGCCTCTCCATCCTTTGCATTCAAAGCAGGGCCTGGCACACAGCGGGCTCCCCCCGCCAGCATTTCTTGAATGAAAGAAATCTCACAACATTCTCTCAGTTTCACTCCCACCCACAGAACACTTGGCACAGAGGCAGCTTTGAAACCTGAGAACATTTATTTTTGCACAAAATCTCTTAGCTCAACAGTAACCAGTACTATGCCCTACATTATCAGATGCCCATCACCAAAGACAAAACTCCCCGAGAGAGAGGGATTCATCTATCCCCAGTACACCAACAGTGTCCCCACACAGCTAGCTGCTTCCGAGGTTGCATGTCTAGGAACCACCACCCTGGCCTGGGGGAGGGCCACTTTTCTTGACCAAGATCTTTAGGCCACGGAGCAGCCGCAGCGGCACATGGCCTTCTCGTGTCGGCCCTTCTCCCCACCTGGCCCTGCCACGGCCTCTTTTGCCATGGCCTCCCGGACCTTTTGGATCTCATGGATGAGCAGGGTGAAGGCCTCCTCTACACCTTGCCGCGTCTTGGCTGAGGTCTCCACGAAGGGGGCTCCCCAGCTCTTTGCAAGGGCTGCAGCGGCCGCACGAGCGTCTCCGGTGGTGGTCACAAGGTCACACTTGTTGCCCACAAGGACCAGGGGCTGGGTGTGGTGAGGGCCCCAGGTGGCCCGCATCTGCTGCAGCTGGGTTAAAGACGAGGGGTCATCCAGGGCGAAGACCCCCAGCACACCATCCCCGATCGCCACACACTGGTCACGCAGGGCCCTATGGGTGGCCTGCCCTGCCGTGTCCAGGACATTCAGAATGCAGCCCCCGTGGCCCAGGGCCACCTCCTTCCAGTAGGAATCCTGGATCGTGGGGTCGTGGTCTTCCACGAAGCACTGGTGGTTCAGCTGGATGGTGAGCGCACTCTTCCCCACGCCACTCGCGCCCACCACTACCGCCTTGTACTCAGGCAGCTGCTTGCTGACACCCTTGGGGGGTCCCTGCGCCCTCTGGCTCTCCTCCTGGGAGCTAAGGCTCCACGTGCCCAGGCCCAGATCAAACATGTTAGGCTTTCTTGGCAGTGCCATTACCCCGTGGGCAGCTCAGGGAAGGGATGTGAACACCAGACCCTACGAGGGAAAGAGAAGAAAAGACAATGGGGGCGGGGGTAGGTTAGGCAAGACCATTTGGGGGCAAGGGGACAGTTGGGTGGCATCGCATCACTTTCCCTAAGGGCCTAGGTGTGTGCGAATCACCCTCTAATATACTATATACATTATTTATGTTGCTTAATTTCTTTCTGTCTCATTCCCTCTATGTGAAGGCAGTGATTTTAAAAAGTTTTATTTACTTTTAATTGATAGACCATAAAGCCAATCCAGTTAAAGTGCACAATTCACTGTTTTTTAGTATATTCAACTGTTCTGCAACCATCACCATAATTTTTTTTTTTTTACACTTTAATCTCTACACCCAACACGCGACTCGAACCTACAACCTCGAGGTCCGGAGTCGCATGCGCCCCCACCATCACCATAATCTACTTTTAAAATATTTCCATCACCCGGAAAAGAAATCTCCTGCCCATTAGCAGTTCCTCCCTGTTCCGGAGGAGGGAGAGCAGGGATTTTGGTCAGTTTTTATTTGGTTTTGTATCACTGTTGATTGATCCCCAAGCCCCACATAGTGCCCCATCGCATATTATATGCTGAGCAACATTCCTGCCCCCAGGGAGTTTGTATTCTAAAAGGTGGAGACAATAAACCAAGTAAATCAGCAAATTATGAGGTCAGCTATCCATTAACATTAGAATTTAGCCTTTATTACCTATTCAGCATACAGCTATTGAGAACCTACTGTGTGGCAAGGACAAACAACTGGGAAAATTGTTACCAAACCCTGGCTGCCAGGAACTTGTCATTCTAGTCAGGAAAACAGACAACAAAGGGGAATCAGCAAAATATATCTCAACAATAGGTGATAAACATGCAGAAGGGGATTGGTTAATGTTAGGCATTCTTATTATTATTTAATTTTCGTGCATTATTTCCAGAGTTTTCCTGGCGTGCCAGGCATTGTGATGGGTGTGGGGAAGGAAGGTGGGAGGTGTGGGGGTGGGGAAGTGGCAGCGAACAAAATAGACTAAAATCCCTGCCCTTGGGAGGATTAGATTCTGGAAGTGAGAAGGAGCCGATCAACAAGATAAGCAAGTAAATTATCATGCAGTTAAGGAGAGGATGGGCACACAGCAGGCGCTCAATTAGTGTTAGCTATTAATAGCAAATTACGATTAAATTTATTCAATACACATTCTGGTCTTGGTTCAGTGTGTGGCCTCAGGAAATGCATCATAATGGCTGCTACCTCGGGTCTTTCTGGAAACCCAGGGATGATGGCAGTTTGGGGACAGAGGGTGGGTTAGAGGTATCAGTGGGGGGTTCTGTTGAGTTTGAGCTCTGGAGGTCAGGGTTGGGGGGCGGGGCAGATCCCAGATGGGGATCCACCCGTGGGGTTCTCGGTAGATACGCTGGCTCAGAAAGAAGAGCGCGGGCGGGGGGGGGGGCATGATAAAAAGGTAAACTGAGGATGGAGCTCTGCGGTACCCGAAGGCTTGGGGGACAGAAAGAGGGAGAAATGTAGCAGCAAAGATAGACTGAGGGGAGAGATCGGATCGGATTCTGGTATGTGCCGACGGTGGAACTCATGGAGAGGATTTGCTCTTGAGTAAAAGGCGGGGGGGGGGGGGGAAGGGTTCAAGGATAACTATCAGGATTGGGGTCCGGGCAGCTGGGAATCTGAGGGTGTTCTCGCCTGAGGCCAGGGACCTATGAGACGGGCTCTGCCCCGTTGGCAAAGGGCACCAGGAGCGATAAGGGGCAGCAGCATTCGTTCCTGGGAGCTCAGCAGGTGCCAGGAGACCCGCATGACGGCCCACTCGACTCTTCCCGCCACCCTGGAGATGCTGGGCCATCACCACCATGGCTGCTTTGTCAGTGCAGGAACAGCGATGCCGGGACAAGCGATTTGGCAGTGGCGGTGACCGGCCCGAGATCACAGGGCCCACGGGAGATCAACCACAGAGGGGTCTCGCGCTCCCTGGGTGATACCAAGTCACTTGCGGTGGGCCGAGACCTACGAGTGTCACCATAGGGCCTTTGAGACGCTGTGGCCCCACTCGGAGCCGGCTGGCCCATGGTGTGTGGATTCGCCCAGTTGCCAGGGGTGTGCATCGAGGGGCGGGGGGCACCTGAACTTGAGCCCCTACAAACCAACACCTGCGCCAGGTCACCCTCCCCTGGACTAAGCTGGGGAGGTGTGGGTGGGGGACCCGCAAGTTTTACCCTAAACTGTCCCCTGTGGCCAGTCCCACTCGTCCAGTTCCTGGAGTCACCCCACTCCCGCCTCTCGGGACAGCAGCCCGCTTCCCGCCCGGCGCGGACACCTGCACCCAGGACTGTCTCCACAAAGGCGGCTGAGTGAGGGGCTGGAGGTGGCTCCTGACCCCTGAGAATAGGAGGCGATAGGGGAAGGTTCCCCCTCAAAGCCCACCTCTGTTGCGCCCTCACAACCCACCGGGAAAAGGCCTCCCTGCCCGGGGCCGGGGCTAGAGGCTTGGTGGCCCCGCTCACCTCAAGTCCTGAGAAAGATGGTTGCACTCGGGATGCGCTCGGAAGCAAGCCGTCCCAGCTCTCACAGGCCTGACAGAGGAGATGCTCCAAACCCCCCCCCCCCCCCCCCCCCCCCCCCCCCCCCCCCCCGGCGAGGGGGCGGGGAGTGGGAGGGTGGGGGTGGGAGCTGGAGGGGACAGGGAGAACGCATGCGCAGTAGTCCTGGGGGGGGGGGGCCTTCGTGGACACGCCCCCGCCTGGGGTGGGGGGGCTGAGTGTGGGAGGAGGCATCCAGCCCCAGCTTACCGTGTGCAAAGGCAGCGGTCTTGGGGGTGCGCTGCTAGAGAGCTGCGGGACCTCCTCGTGTACCCCTGCCTCCTGCTGCACCTCTCCCTTACCTTGTCCCCATCTGGGTTGTGACCTCAAGTTTTCAGTGTGCAGAGGGTGTCAGAGTTTTCACCTGAGCGGCCACACTTGGGGATATGTATTGAGGGCCTCGTTGAGGCCATCGACCCTGGGCTGCCTCAAGCAGGCTTTTTCAAAGTAACTTGGGGGAGAGCGTTGTGCCCTTGTGCCCATTTCTGAAGGGAAGGAGTTACAGGGGAGGGATTATTCTGTCAGGGCCTTAGGAATCCGATTTGAAGGAATCGGATTTGATTTCCCAGACTCCCTTGCAGCTATGGCAGTCATGTGACACCATTCTGACCAATCAGATGTATGCTGAAGTTGTTGGGGTGGGGCATCCAGAATGCTTTTTAAAGGGGGATGGCGGAGCTGGCGGCTCAGCCCCCTTCCCCTTCTTCTTTACTCGTGGTTATCTTGGAGTCATAAGGTGGCCACGAAGAAAAGTCTAAGAAACTTCAGCCCAGACTCTGTTCTGAGTTGCCAAAGCAATTCTCATTATATGGGAGAAATAAAACGTCCAAACTATCCTCCAATTCCTCATCCCTGGTCAATGGTAGGAACTCCTTCCCCCCAGGAAGTTACCCATGACCACCAAGTCTAAGTATGTTAAACCTAGACTCCCCACCCCCAAATCAGGACAAAAAGAGAGATGGGGAGAGAGGCCTGGTGAGGACATTTCCTGATAGTTTTCTTGCTCACTCAGCCCAGGGTGTAGCTGTGACTGGCTGTGAGGCTATTTCTGAGGCAGGCACATATTTTCCTAGGGATTCCACCATTTAATCTATAGTACAACTAGCCAAGCCACCTGCCCTATTTCCAGTTAGTTCTTTGGATACTGGATGGGCAGGGGGTTGACCAGAGACCCATGCCCTCATTGCTTCGTTACTCATCAGACCCGTTGGCCAGGGGTGTGGGGTTCTGTACCCACTCAAGGTTAAAAGGCTCTCTCCAGGTTTTGTAACAGCTTGTACTTTATTACATATCCAACTCTGCTGTATCTGCCAGTTGATCCCCCTCCCAACAAAGCATCAGCTTAGTGTTATCAGCCCCTCTTGGGACCACTGAGCTACCCTCCTTTCCTTCCAGGGCAGAGTAGATAGAGTCCCTCAAGCAGGCAGTGGGCAGACGGAGATTTACAACTGATCATCACAATCATCTTACAAGTATTTACGCTTAAATCAGCACCCTTGGGGAGTTGAAAAGAGTCTTCAGGATGGGATGGAGTGAGGCTGCCCTTCATCCAGGGCCTCAGAAGGTAGAGAAGAGGAGCACATCCTGGGATTCAGTGTGAGTGGGGCATGTCCTCCCCAAACTTGTTCTGGTGGGCGATGTTCTTCACTTCTAGGAGAGCCTGAGGAGGCAAGAGAGGGTAGGTAAGAGAGAGTGAGGACCCCTCCTCTACCTCAGCCAGGAGCTGCCCCTGCACCAGCCCTCAACCACCCTTCTGGGCTATCTCACACGCAGAAGGGTCTCCATTCTCCCCTTACCCAATCGCAGAGGGTATGTGTGTGAGGGTGTATGTATGCGCATGCGTTAGAGGGTCTGCCCAGGACCCACCTGGTGGTGGACATAGGCCTCACAGCTGTAACACCAGGTAGACAGATCGACGTAGCTGAGGACCAGCGGGTGTCCTGACCCTTCGTGGTGTTGCAGCATATGGGCACTGACATAACGACCACAGTAGACCTGGGGTTGGGGAGAGTATCGGGCAGGGATCAGCACTCACCTTCAGTTTGCTCCTGGGCCAACCTCCACTCCATCCCCTTCCTCCTCTGCTGCCTACCTGATAGCAAGACAGACACACCCAGTTCTCCTGGAGTGTTCCACAGTCCTGACAAGGTTGGGTCACGTCCAGGCCTGATTCAGGTGTGGGACATACTGCCACCAAATGGGGACACCAGGGCAGCGGTGTCACGGCATAAAAGATGGCCTGGAATGGGTGCAACTGAGTAAGCTAGGGACTCCATCTCCCTACTACATGTTCCTGCACCACATGCTCCTACCTGGAGGTGCAAATGGGCAAGAGAAGGAAGTCACAGTCTCCTCCCTGGTCCCTGAGCTCACCTGGTCAGTGT